CAAGACTTTGAGAAGCTCCAATACTGATTAAAACTAAAAGAATCCTTACCAGTTTTTACTTGTCTGCTGTAATGAGGCACACCACTAGCTTTCTACACGTTAGAAGAAAATGGAAAACAATTACTACGAAAGATTCATCTAAGCTAGACTGTTCTTCAAAAACAAACGTATGTGTCTTGTCAGATGTCTGTAGTAAGATAAGTCTTTCCTGCAACTAAGATCAAAACTATGATAGACAGACTATGAATAGCATCACAGTGATTACGCTACCACGGTATATGAAGCAGGAGACCCTGGTACTGAGCATATAGGAACACTTTGTGAAAGGGGATATACTTACATAGACCTGAAGCAGGTCACAAAGTTGTAGAGACTCTCCATCCACTAACATACAGAAATATTTTTTTTAAATTGACAAGCTCTTGGTATTAGAAAAAAAGACGTTTACACATGTATGTAAAGAAGTACATCATTCACCCCAACTCTTTGCTTCTCCTGGTAAAGTTTTATTTTCTGTATTTGAAGCACTTCTCTTAATTTAAGCCTACCATGAAGAGAACTGCTCTGTTTAGCAGCCTTAAGTAAACAAAAAAAATTAATCCCCTGACAGTTTAATTTCATAACTGCTTTTGTAATGTAGATGCTTCATTTTAGAATTACCGATAAATTTGTGAAACAAATAAATATGGTCACATCAGTCTTTACTAGAGATTCCATTTCTGAGACTCCCACTGTATCCTCTGCACCTTCCATATTCAGTCTACGTTCTGCCACATCTTCCTTTGATTCCAGTCTACAATAACACCAGCATTTCATAACACTGCTAACAGCATGGCAAAAATGCTAATTAAATCCATCTTCTTCACTCAACTGTATAAAGGAGAAAAATTTAAATTATGGGTTTCTCAGTAGCCCCCAGCAAATTTCCCTTGGATTGAACTGCCTTTTAAACATAGATGCTCCTACACACTGCTTGACACATTTAAATTTTATATTCTTTTGTGTGATTGCATTTGCCTAATGTGTTAAGATCCTGAAAAACAGCTACATCTCTCATTCTTAATGATCTCTGTATTTTAGTATTGCAACCTCAGTCAACAACTTATAAAACATTACAGCTCTATTCAAATCATTAGTGTGTCAGTGTCTGTATGGAGAGAGGAGGCAGCAAAAGTGCACAGGCCTTCATTTAACTATTACTTACACTTGCTGCTGACTTTTAGACTGTTGATGGTACTTTGCTTTGCTTAAAGTACTTCATAGTTATGTGCAGTCATCTCAGATTTAGGATTCAGACGTTTGCGATGTGCTTTTCCAAGCCCTGCGATATAAAGAAGGTATTAAACCTGACTTACTGCCTTCTCGTTAGAATATAAAGATGACATTAGAACCATTTTCAGTTTCCAAAATTATTATCACTGCAACTTCAGCTTCAAAGACCAAAAATAACATTGTATAGTAGCAGTTTACAAGTGACGATACAGCACATAGGTAAATTTGGTTAAGTATTTGGTGTTACCAATGCAACCTCTTCATTACTATCTAACCACTCCTTAATACTGCAGGTTTGTTCCACTTTTAGAAAGTATACCCACTACTTACAGCCTGAGCATTAATAGCCCCACATAGTCCATTTAAGGAAATGCCAAAGATAATAAAAACATGGAGAGAGTTAACTAAGTCACAATTTGCTAATGCTTTTTCAGAAAAGAAAGAGAAAATACACACTGCTGAAGCACTAACTTTAGAAAGCTACTCTTTTACATGTGAAAGCTGAGATCACCTCTGCTTTGACTTCTTTGTTTAATGAAGAGGGCAAAGCAGCACAAGCAAGCTCTAGAAAGCCCAAATACATCTAGGGTAGAATACTACTACACACAGGTAGCATATAACATAGTCATCAGAAACCACTCTGCAAGCTCCAGTAGGATGGTGTGCATGAAATACTGGGGTGGCAGGTTGAAAAGGTAAGATTTCAGATGAGGCGCCGGGGTCATAATGTTGAGCAGCCCCAGGAAACCGTACTTTAGACCGGAAGAATAGGGTAGGGAGAGAAGTGTTTTAAAGCCTCAGATACACAATCTCTGGGCAAATTCTTCTTGGAGACAGACTGCAGATTCCCTTGCAATAACAAGAAAATATCTTGACCCTGTTAGTGATTTTCAGATAAAAGGCGCCTTTCCTCCGCCTTTAGAAACACGGTAAGGAATCATTCCCTAGAACAGCTAGTTTGACACCACGGAAATCCATAAAGGGCAGCGCCCTCTTGGGCTCTGGCAAAATGGACAAATCCAGCTTAGTCACATAAACACCATTATGTTTTTGATGTCAGCATCTATGGATTTGCACATAGAACGTACAAGCCCGTTTCAACAATTCTTAGTTAAAAGGCAGGGAGGGGAAAGGTGTCATTTTAGCAGACACATCTGAAAGCAAGTAAACTTTCAGCTTTACGTTTTGAAATAAATGCTAAGATGCTGAGAGATCGCATGACCCTTCGTAAGCTTACTGAATTGAATTTGGCAGAAGCTTTATGTGCACTTGATAACAAAACAGAAATTGCAAATAAATTTGTCTGAATGTTTGTCCAGCTTGGACTTGCATCAGGCTTAGCCGATATACTTAATCTGGATGGAAATCAAAGAAAATGAACCAAGTTTTATAGGTAGGGCTTGTAAATGCTTTAAATATTTGAATAGCCATAAGGAGAAATCTTTATCATGGAAAAAATATCAATGTAGCCAATGGTATGGCTCACTTACAGTAAATAAGCTAGAATTTTTGGCATATATTTTCATTAAAGCTAAATCACTGTATCAGTAAAAGCATGATGAGAGTAATAAGTAAAGGATCGCTTATTTAGGCATGCCGGTATTGCTCCTCAGTTTTATCACTGAACATGAAAAGCATGTATTAATACTCAGTATCCCATAGGGTCTTATTCAAAGCTGCTGAAACGTGGCTCAATCATAATTATTCAAATTAAACATTTTTACTATGACAGCTGCTGTTGTCATCAGAACAAAACGTTCACCTTCCTAGGCAAGTGAGACAGAAATGAGGGGGGAATCCCTTATATTAAGGTATGGGGGAAATCAAACCAAGCATATGGTTACAGGAACTTCCTCCTTTTTGGGTACCATGCAAACAAGGGGTGGAAGAATAGCTCTGTCCGTACAGGCATCCACACACTGCAAGCTGCTGCAGAACAGTCAAGCCACAGTAATAAGGCTAACAAACAGTGCCAGAACTCTCCAGTGTGGACCTCAGTGCCGCTAGACCTCTTCCCATCCCGAAGCTAGCTCTGGGATCTCTGCAATAAACCGAAGTCTGCAAAACAGTCAGACTACAACTCGTGCAGAATACCATTTCTCACCTCTCTTATGCACAGAGAGGGGGGAAAAAAAAAATCAGATCTCTTCTTTCCAGATCACTGGGTAAACCTGAAGCTGAGGAGTCCTCACAACCATATACTCTTTTGTAGAACCTCAGGACACTGAATGACCAGTTGAAACCCATGACTGCAGAGCCCTGTCAGAAGATGAACGTGAAGCAAACAGTACTTGCTAGTTAAAAGATTTTAACAAAGCTGTCACCCCTTGTGGTATACATATTCCATTACTTTCATTCACATCTACGTTGATGTAAAGACTGACAGACAAGCCAAGCCTTAAAAGATATAAATTTTTTAATGTTTATTTTTCCACAAAAAAGCTTTACAAGGAGTAACAGGTTTTACTAGAGAAAGAATATATTCTTTAATCACTGTTTATTTGCTGAATTGATATCCGAGGCTGCAACTTCTTCTACAGTGTGTTTATTTCTTCTCATAATATGACAGGACATTTTATTTAAAAGGGACTATAACCCTTGCATGTTGTTAAGAATTCTATTAGGTAATGCTACACGTGAACAATTTACACAATCCGTATCAGCAGTAGATGAAGGGCCTTAGTTTAATTCTTTGCATGTTTTACAGCAGCAAATATAAAACGACTTTTAAATATTCAGACGTTTTAAAGGCTTTGCATCGCATGTACTGGAAAAACAGAGGCTTAGTATCTCAAACAGCAGATAAAAATATTCTAATGTCCACAACGCAACACTTAAGTTCCCCAGAAAAGAAAAGAAAAGAAAATCCCCCTTCTTTCCCCATAAACAACACGGAGACATTTAGTATGGTGTTCAGTGCTCAAATGTGACTTTCTTCACCAGTGGTAAACTGCTGGGATTTTTAGACATCCCAACATCAGAACCTAAATGAAGTTACATGGTTTTACATAGAGAGAGAACATGCCTCTTCACAGCTGCCTCTGTGCACAACCCTCTGCCATTTACAGCATCTTTACTGCAGAATAGGAACAAAAAATAAAAGTAAAACCAACTTCTCACCCTTCAAATACCAAGGTAACATAATCCTCACCCTTCTGGATCAATGGAATTTTTGCCCTTCATTTCACTCAAACCAGAATTTCAGCAAGATGTTTGCAATCTCCCTGCCAAGTGTGTTTTGAAGTGTGCATAATATGTAACAACAGTCTCTCAAGCAGGTTCACAAGACTGAGAAAAAAATGTTTTACAAAAAAGTACTTCATAAGAAGAATAGATTGTGCAGAAAGCACTTTCATTTGTACTTCTTTCAAAAACGTAATGGAGACGGAAAACCCTTCACAGTTCCTGATTAATAAAGAATTAAAAAAATTACAATTTACAAACCATGAAGGTCAAGCAAATACTGCATGTCAAACAATACTCCAGCACTTCTGTAAAGATATGCAATCATGTATTTTTAAGGAAGGCACTGACTTTCCCTTCAGGCATCGTGATCTAATGAAAATGTGTTATTTTGGTCTAAGGCTGAACTACTGGCCCAAAAGATATTTACCATTAACCTTAGAGAGCCAGGATTTCACCCACAGTTTCACACAACCTCAATTTTCTTTATTAACACCCTTATAAAATCAAACAGATCCATTACAGGTTTAATAGATGTACAATGATTTACACGTGAGAAAGTTTTTATTGCGCTAATTCTCCTTTAAAAGTGAAATTGGATAACTTTCAAGTTAACGTATTAAACATTTAGTAGTTCTGTTCCTCCACTTTACTATTAGCTCCATGTTTTTTTAATATGGAAGTCCGTTACCCGATACGGACAACTTTCAGGACAGACTACTGGACTGCATGGTTCAAAAGCACATAATTCAGTTTAAACAAAAGCTTGAAGAACACGCTCTTATTTTTTAAAACAGTAACGTAAAAACAAATTAGGAATAGTTACCTTGTTTACTATGAAGTTGGTCAACTGCCAGATAGGTTGAGTCTCTAAATACTTATTCAAAAAGGGAAAAAACTTGTGTGCAATATTGCTCTACTAAAATATGTTGAGTACAAAATATTAAATTAAGGTGGACTTAGGAACAGATTTTTACAAGCGGTATTTCTTTAGCTTAAAATTGTCAATGCTGTAAAGGAACTAGGCAAGATTTGAAAAACACCTGTAATTCTTTTGCTTAGCCCTGGAACCTGCCGAGGGACAAAATGTTCTCTAGTATGTTTGAAAGCAATGGACGAACAAAGACAACAATCGTAATAGTAATTATAGCTGCCCAGACAGTCCCCAACTTATATCCAAGGTCTTTAGCTTTTCGACTGTGACACAAATATGTTAACCTCCAATAATAATTAAGCAAAATCTGCATCAAGAAACCAAACTGGAGTATCTTTCAAATCACCTAACATCCAAAGTTCTATAACACCAAAGTTTCCTGAAAGTAAGAGCCATCAAAATTCCTACATAGGCCACTCAAGCGTGCTGGGATGCTCTGGGAGGTCGGGAAACAACAGTAGGACCTTGCTGCATAGGCCAGAGGCAATGGTAAAAATGCTGATGGTAGCTGCATCGGTGTAAACCTTCATGAAGCTGACTTGAGAACATAAACTTATTCAAATGCTACCTAGAACAGTGGGGGAGTGCCCAGGTATCACCTAGATTTCAGCAATTATTACCTGATTATCTCAAGATGAAGAGTACTATTGGATCAGGTGATTACAAATACCTGCAGGAAGAACAAGGGCAACATTTTTGCCTTCTGTATGGAGCAGGACTGCAGTGAATATAAACAGGACCTTGAAAGGAGGTAACCCCAGAAAGCCAGTGTGCGCTGGGTCTATCCGTTTTGAGAATCAGTGTTAGGGTTTAGCTCATCCTGAAACTCTCATCTCATTTGCACCATTTTAAGTGAGCTGCCAGGGAACATTAACTTTACAGGGAACAGCATTATTGCACTATCTATGTGCATCCACCTCCCTAAAGCAGGAGTGGGAAGACGTGGAAGAGGTAGTTGTCCTACCTGTATCTCTCTGAGGTATCAAGAAATTGGCTGGATTTCACCCTTGGGTGAAATGACAGGAAAGCCTAACGAAAACCCCACATAACAGCATTATGACAAAGAAGCCAAAATAAACCAGGAAACTGAATCCTTAACAAGAGCAGGTGATTTTTCATATAATAGTACAGACATTACAAAATATAGGAACAGGCGGTTCTGATGGAAGATAGTGGTCATTTGGTTATAGGAACATAACTGAATATAGAAATATTATTAGAAATATTGTTTCTATATTTATGATCCGCTGTAGAATACAAAGACAGATGCGGTAGAATTCTAATTCAAAATAACCAGGTCTCACTTTTGCAAGGACTGTAAAGGTTTCAGTCCGCAACTAACTGCCAGCATCCTTCCAGCTTTCTTGCTGAGGACAAACAAGCTCATTTAATCCTTGACAACTTATTTCAATGAAAATGATTACACTTCACTTAAAATACTAGATTTTTGCTAACGTACATGAGTTACTTTAACTGATTATACGAACAATTCTGCTGGCAGATCTGAGTGGAGTGTTACTGTCAGGAAGGGTAGGTGACAAGCTGCTTTGTGTGGTAAATTCTTCAGCTAACACAACTGCTGCCTGGAGGACACATGCACATGCCCCGTTACAACATCTGTCACACGTTATATGAGAAAGAAAACTTCCTTGTGACTTGCAACACATAGTTTATGCACACACTTCTGTGGGGCCTTGGCTGCAATCTATCTTTGAGGTAAGTGTTAAGGAATAACAGTGATTTTTAAAAGTTAAGGGTCATACGAATGTAATAATTTAGCAGACAATAGCAGGGATATTTATAAGCTCTTTTCAACTAAATACTCATAACTCTACAAAGTCAAGCAATTAAGGGTTTCACCTATGTAATAAACCTTGGTAGGGACCAAAAAATCAAGAGATTTGCAACTACACAGGCAATAATACATCTATCTTCGCTTAAATAGCTAGTCAATAATTAAACAACCAGAATGACTTTCCCCTCTACAAGCAGGAGCAGCAACTAGAGGGGAAACATGAACCACAGGGGCTCATACGGTCAGGTGCCCGCAACTGGAGGAGACTGGAGGCCAACTACTGGATTGTTCAAGTGCCTAGGAGCAGTTATTGAAGAGCTATTGTACGGTATGTACGTACGTATACACACACACAGGCACACACACACATCTATATTCCACTTCTATTCTGATCAGCCAAAGAGGGGGCTGCCCATGCTGTTCCTTTTTATGCAAGTGCTGTGGCTGTTTAGGAGGATGCCAGTAAATTACATCTCCCTGGCTGTGTTGATCTGTGGAGCTGGCTGTGTGTGTACTCTATATGTGTACCCTGCACGTACACACATACATGTGCCTATTGGGAATATGTGCTCAGCATTGCTACTGACTGGATCAGGAGGAACTGACCCGGGTTGTGAAAACCCACCAGATTCTGTTACCTCCAGCATATAGCTTTTCTTCATAAATTAACAAGTGGTGTGTCTTTTTGAGATGGACTCACACCTTCGGCCTCTGTTTTCATTTTTAGAAATGAAAGACGTTATAGTAGTGACGAACACTCAGACTTTGTGGAAAGCAAACCAATAGCGAGGGTGCAGTAGTATCGCTACAGAGCTCATTTGAAAAATGCATGAGCGAAGCAGAGAACAGTCATTAAATTTAACAAAAAAGCTTTTGGTGCTGGACCAGCATCACCAAATTGCTTACAACTTCTACCCGCCTTGATTTATATAGGATTCAGACCACTGCTGCAAGACACGGACTTAAAAGAAAAGAGGAAAAAAAAATTGGTCCAAGCAGATATACTCCCACTCTTCGCTAGTAAAGTGGAAACTGTTTTCTTTGAAATATAATTATTAAAATATGGCCATGACTAAAGATTTAAAGGTCCTTTTTAGTCTGATCCTAGACTTTAGCTTGATGTTTATGCAAAAGTTTTCCTACTGTCTACTCATGTCCTCTCCCAATGAGCTTACAGTGGTTCTGAGTATGTATATATACAGTAATTGCAAGTTGAGAATTGAAAAACGGAACGGCTGTGACCCTTACGCACACATTTATATATGCACATTTGGATAGAAAATGTATCTACAATACTACACTTAAATACTACAGATTGCATTTAAATAAAGTTAGGAATACATTTTTGACCCCTGCAGCAGTATGCTAAAAAGTGCCAGTAAGGTAACAGATATGTTGACACATGGATTCCGTTTTTGAATACAAGAAGCTAAACAGGTCAAATTTGATTATCTTGTCCAACTGAAACAGACAAGTATCAAATAATTCTAGTTGCAATTTAGAGAACAAATCCATCAGCTGAGTGATATACTTGAGATAACAGTAAGAGTTTAATTCATCATTCTAAACTCCAGAAACTAGTGCTTGATTTTTTTTTCAGTAAGCAATAGAAAAATGTCTGAGCTAGCTGGAAGCTAATCTAAGGTTTCCTGGCTACCATCCAAAGTCAAACAAAAAGTATTTCAGAAAGAAGGAGTTGTACTCAAATGTTAAAAAAAGGGTAAATGCTCCGATCAGTTTCTTTGCTTTCATCCTTCAAACACCATTTGCAAACTGTAAACAAAGTAGTAAAGCTTTCTTGCTCCTCAAGACTACACGTGAGCTGAAAGACTAAATTAGAAAAGTTGCTTAAAAAAACACAAGAAAAATAATAGTTCAGTCATTGCCTTGTTGACAGGTGAGATAATTATCATTTCTGGTACTACAGAGTGCTCACAGATAGGCTGGCATTTCAGCGGAAGGAAAAAACACACCAGTCCACAAGGAACCATACGGTTTCCTTAAAACAAAAGCCTCTTGAGTTCATAACCAACATTTCAATCAGCTTTTAAGTAGGAAAGAGCAACAACATATCAAATTGGGGATTTACTGTCAGGTGTCAGGAACAATGGCTTTTTTTTTTTTTTTTAGAAAAAGCTGTGTAATTCTTTCACTACTGTGCGTCATAATAGATGTAAAAGCGCATCTTCAAACTTAGGACAAACTCATCTTCTTAGAACCGATCCTCATGATCCGAGCACTGAGCCCAATCCAAATATCCCTGAAGCCCAGTAGGAACCCTACCAATTCATGTAAGAAACTAGCAGTACTCCAGAAAATAGCAGTTCACCAGCAAAAGCTCAGATCCTCCAAACGTGAATGCCATTGCGAATAATTCATCACTGAACGTATGGTTCTTGTTCAGAGGCCACTATAGCAAATGACTTAAAAGATTTTGAATCAGATTTCAAGAGTACAACACTATTCATAATCCTAAGTGTCTACAAGACAGGAGTCTCCAGACAGGTCTTTACACAGAAACCACAGAAGTGGAAAGAAAAAGTGATTCACCTGCTTGAAATGGCTGACATTTAATTTCTGCAGCTTAGATATTCAACTATTACCTAAAATTTACTATAAAATGTAAATGGGTATATAACAGAAAAACTCTGACATGTTTTTTATATACACATTAGAGAGAGGCACGTTCTTTGCTAGAAATCAGCATGAAATGCATCTGTAGGTACTTAAACACTTCCTTTCACAGACATTTTCTCATGAAACTGTGCTTTTCATATAAGGCAGTCCTATCTAGTTAAGTAAAACACAGTTTGCATAAAATTAGAGCTGCACCTAGTTTATAGTGTATTTTCAAAATACGCATGTCATAAACGCCAACACTGAAAAATAAGAAAGATAACTATTTTGTAGCCGCGGAGAAAGAAAGCACTGGTTTTAACATTCTGTTAAAAGTTAATGGCATGAAAGGAATTTCTAACTGCTAGTCCTAAATGATCTAGCTGTTCTAACAGTATGCACAGTGCAAAGAACTTACTATAGTAGCATTACAAAGTAATACTAGCTCTTCCAAAAGAACTCTTGAAATTGTCGCTCATTGCTCAGAATGGCAAACATCCAGTATATTCACAATTGGCAACAGAATCTAGAGTGTTACTATATTATTGCTGTTACAGTAATGAAAAGAACTGAGGTGGTGATTATAAATTTTCATGTTAAATTGTGAGGAACTCCATTTTATCAAGTATACTATTTGTTAGCTTCTTCATAAGCTGTAGGAAAATGAACAACAGAGAAAAGTTATCTATTCTTATTTTTTCCTACGGAAACATTGGACACTAAAATAAAGTATGAAATGAGTTGGCTTTGCATTAGTTAGTTAAAAACGCGTATGTCAGTTCAACTTGAGTCAAGCTACCTTGGGTTGTATTAGCTATCTGTAAAGGCTGACTGAATGAGATTCCTTTCATCATACAGGCACTGCTATCTTTGCTGCAATAATAGAGGCACGCTTTGATAGCCAGGATAGCTTCAGCTGATAGACAGCTACTGGGTAACTGAAAGGGAATGAGAGTTTGACAGGAAACATCCTTAATTCCTCCAGACAGACACTGTCCTTGAAGCAACCATGTATTATCTGTAAAAGAAAAGCAGGTCTTATCGTTAGGACATTCAACACCATGTCTAAAACCTAGAGAAAGCATTGATTTTGCTTATCAGACAACACGGACTTTCTGTCCACGTGCAATATTAGGGGAAATTGCGTCTAATTTTTCCAGTCACAGAGAAAAAGGAAAAACAATTTACAAATGCTTCTTTGGTAGTCATTCAAAGGTGGAAGGATCCATAGCTTTGATTTAAGAAGTGTAGGTATACTTACAGTACACCTTAGTTAAATGCAATGCATCTGCAATTTGTCCTATACGCTCTAAAAAGTATATTAAAATTTCTTTTGAGATATATAAGCAAAACTCCTTAAATTAATGGGCTGTTACAGATTTGTATCAGAGGCCTAATACTCAAGGCAAGGTGAATGCCATAAAGGCATAGAACTGCATGACATTTCCAAACAGAAATATCAGCTTTATAAGTGAGTTGCTGTACGTTAGTGATGTTCAGGCTGACTGTTACAATAGGCCCTGAGCTTCATATTTATTTAAATATTTAAGAGTACGTGAGCTGAAGAATGAATTGCACAATAAACGCACCTAACTCACTGCATATTGTACTCTGTATTTTGCCATAAGTGAGATGGATGAAGTGTTCTTTTTGGCATTTTTCAGAAAATAACTGTAACTTGGCTCTAAAATATATGAGCTTGAAATGGCTTGTTGAGTTTCAGTTGCTTACATTCTGTAATTTTACTAACTCCTGAAACTATGATGTATCTCTCTATCTCTTTGCAGATTTTTTAGGCCAAAAAGTGTGCCAATACTCCTGGAAACAGTCCATCTGTTCTCTAAAGGCACAAAGTAGGATGAGAAACCTCCTTAAGCCACAAGGTGTACAAACAAATTGCAGTGCTGTACAGTATTGTTTGACTGTTTTTAAAAGCAACTGATTTCATTAAGGTACCACGTGGATAGAGAGACACTTTGAAAACTCAACAACAAAAGACTAGCCAAAAGATAAGGAGGCTAGTTTTAGACCTGCTTAATTGCATCTGCATGCACTGATGACTACTAACAGTATACATAGATTGTAACAGACAGTAAGGAATGTCAATTCACCCTGAGGAAAATTACCAAAAATTAGCAGAATTTTAAAATCCAGTAGCATTTCTAAAAAGGAAATAAATGAGTGAAAATGCTATAAATGAGTGAAAATAATTTAAATACAAGTGTTTTCTCTGTGACTTCCCAAAAATCTACTGAAGGTGCAGATGAGGCATTTTCAACATCCAGAACTCGACAAAGAAAAATCAAAGAAAAATGACTTCCTAGATTTTTTTTTCCACCCGTTTAGCAACTCTAAACGGTCGGTTAAGCTTTCTATTGCTCTGTTCTGGCTTAATGGGTAACCTGCTCACTCCCTCCTAGAAGTAACATTTCTCTGTACGCTGCATCACGTACTTCTAGGGAACCTAGAGACTAACAGCAGAAGCGTTTATACAGGTCAGATTTTCTTCTCAGCCTCTGAATGCTAAGCATCTTCCCTTCATCCCCAGAAGCACTAGTTTATAGCAGCAGTTTTACTTAGGCATACAGCGCATAGTATAGGATACCTTTTAGAATCATTAACATCCTAGTGAGATCAAAAATTTATTCCTAGAGTGTGAATGTGTTCAAGCAAATGAGTCACACCTGAGTAACTCAATAACCAGGCAAAACTGTTTTACCACTCAAAGCACCTGAAAAACATGCAGGTTATTTTATATATTGGCGTTCATATGGTACTTTCGAGGGCACTGATTCATGTTCCTTTCTGGAACACTGGAAAACGCTCGTTAATGGTCACCCTGCCCAAGAAGGATCTTCAGATAACCTTGCTATTTTCGTACTGAAGGAAATTTTAGGGAACACTCACGTGTTCCATTCTGTCAATTATGCTACGGGCACAGTAATCTCCAGTGTAAGAATGGCAGTGATGGATGGAATTAAACCACTCCAACCACAAGCCATAAGAACACGTTCTCTGTGTGCGTTTCAAATACTTAGAGTTGAGAGATATTAATTAATTTAGCTTCACAACACTGCTATGACATGAAATATTATTATACCCATTTTACAGTAACCAAGGTACACAGTGACTGAAAGAACTGTGTAAGGTCACACAGGAAGTCAGCAAATGAACCTGAAAAAAGGCCAGTCATTTCTGCTGCCTTGACATAACAATTTACCTCTTATGGAAGAATGTGTGCCTTGTTATTGAAATATTCAAGCAGAAATATGCAAATATGAACTATAACACAGTAGATTCAAAGTGATTAGGTATAAATATACTTCAAATAATTTTTGAAGAGAGAAAAAGAAAAAAGGAACCTCTTTCAGGAATACCCTTCAGGTTCACAGTAAGCTTTCTCCAAAAAATAGACACTAGGGCTGGGCTATTCATAGAGATAGAGTGGAGAAGGTAAGCATCTAAAAAGGAAAAAGCCTGATTGTTATGGGAACAATATCTTTGCCAACCCTCAATGGCAGCTTGTTCCAAGCGATTCTAAAAAAAGGAATGTGGCATGTGTTAAATCATGCAAAAAGCAGCTGTTTTCATTTTTTTTCTTAATCTTCCCACTCCAGCTGTTAAATGTAGCAACTCTAAATATTACACATCATATCACAATGTCGTATGGGAACATAGGCCTAGAAGTGACATTTTGGTCCACGAGATCGAGATCCCTTGTGTTGTAGGCATGTCATGATATATAACCCCGTTTATATCTTCCTTCTGTTCTTCCTCAACTGATGTGACAACACAGGTACTTTACCTTCTGCTGTGATGAACCAGGAATTAGGTGCTTCTTCATTCAGTTTTGTATCTGGAGGAAGAGTCAACTTTAACAGAAATTGAATCGTCTGGCCAGGAGTTACAGTCAGGGAAGGAAGTTGAACGTTTGGTGCAGATTTAGGCAGTTTTGGAAGGTTTGCTATTTTATCCCTTTGTACAGAGAGATGATCTGGAACATCACATGCTTCTGGATTCAGGATAGGCAACTATCAGCAGAAATCAAACAAGATATTAATTTTCATTTGTACTGCAGAGGAAACTGGCTTTCACAATACAATCACACGCTCATAGCTTACGTGGACTAGGAAAACTAATGTATGACAATATGCTATTCTTCTGAAACTTTCTGACAGAATGCAACAGTGCTGCACTGATAGAAATAAAAAAGGACAGATTTTTTTAAAAGTTAAACATATATACCATTGCTCCAGGGAAAAATAATATTCACTATTAAGATCATCAAATCTACTACTTAAGAGTTTCCACTACTTACAATATACTTTAATTTAAAATTTTAACAGTTTCATTACACTTTTAGTTTAATAAACATTACAAGTATTTTCTCCTAATCTGGTAGTATTCGTACCCTTAGGTAATAAAATCCAAGATTCTAGCCACACAGATTACATAGCAAAGCAAAGGATTATTTCCCTGAATGTTACATTTAATATGAGAATTTAAACCTACATGAAGACGGTTTGACTACTCTGTCCTACCTATATGAAAACAGTAAGACATAGAACCATTATAAGATGGACAGTAATTCAAAGTTGCTTTGCCTTCATGTGCTACAAGCAAAGAGAGCAGTGCTTAATTCTGAAAATCATTTTGATTGGACAACTTGGAAGCCCAAGAGAAAGAATATTAAAAATCGGCACTGCACATATTAAAAGTTAGACACCATTTAAAAGTAAGCTTTAAAAGTTCAGTGTTGCAATAGTAAAAATAAGACTTTGTAGTACCAATATTTTTCAAAATTTGAAAGAATTCTGATTTAGAAACTTTCTTTTTTGAACCTACAAGGGAACAATGAGAGCTCTTCTGCTCTCCCAAAAGCAGCCATATTAAGTAATTTATTGTGGACATTTCTCTCCAGTTCACTGTTGCAAGTTATCTTTTTTGCATTTTACATATCTCAGTATCCTACATGCTTCTGGATATAATTAAAGATCAGACATACAGATGCAGAATTAGAGATGATGTCAATAGATAGAAAATCTAATAAAAACAATGTGTGAAAAAAGCAAGATATTGCAAGGTAAGCTAGATACAAAGCACAAAAGGTGAGGTGCCTTGCATTTACTTTGGAGTACAGAAGTTCACAGAGTAGTAAGTGTAGAATAGCTAAAATTTGGCATAAATGACACCCTAGCGTGTCCTGAAGACAACTTGATCATTTATATATCAGGCCTGAAGTGGCTGACCTCTCAAAATCATCTTTTGTGGCTTAACTACAGGACTCGGTAATCAATTTCAACTTCCTCTCATTTCAAAGAGAGTTGCAAGGGCTCATGAAATGCTTTTCATATTGCAAAACTACGCTGTATATTTTTAAGACAGCTCACACTTCCATATTATTTATAGAGGATCATCACTTTCTGTTTCTATGCAAAAGCAGTCTTCCCAAAGATTAAGGCTTTCAACAAATGCGCTAACAAGTAATGTTTGTTTGCCAAATCACATAATGTTTTGCCCCAAAATATTACGTGACTATAACTACTGTACCAAAAAATTCACTAGCTATATGATTTTTATATCACTTAGCAAAGTCTGTAATAGCAATTTATATCAAGAAACATCACTATCAGCATGTTTAATAAATACTACTTGCCACGGAAAGAATTTTTGTTTCCAAATCCAGCACTTTAATCTGATGATTATTTGTGTCCGCAACATACATTAAGCGGCCATTTTCTTCAACACACAAACCTCCTGGTTCATTAAAAGCTGACTGTGTAAAGCTGGAAGCAGTAATATCGCTTGCTTCTCCTGTGCCTGCCAGGGTGCTGCAGTTCTTCGTTTTGGGATCTATAACCTTAATCTAAGATAAACAAACAAACAAACAAAGAAACCTGAGGAAAAAAAACCACCCGTATTTAAAAGTTCTACATTATCTTACGCCCAACATTTTCAGAAGCCAGCATTAACTTCGAGTACCTTAGCTAACAAGTGTCTGTCTGGGAAACGATGTGGTTGCCAGGTTACCATGCTTTAATAAAAACCACCTCCCTTCTTTCTCCCTGATTCCCCTGCTGGACTTTACTGCTTCCCTTGGTCTCCATTTAGTGTTCTCTTTCATCATTCCAGAGCTACCTACCTCTTTGCTACAGAAGTATGCTGAATGGCATGTTTCTCTTACATTTGCTGCCTTTCTGAAGACATTTGCAAAATAGTTGAAGCATGACAAAACTGGCAGGCTAACTTTTAGACCATTCTTTCAAAAAATGAGTGAGCTAAAATTTGTTTCAAGTATTGTACAAAATGCAGTCTCAGTATTTATTTTGCTATTACTTCAAGAAAAAAAAATAATTTGCCATGTAAACTTTAATGAGTATTTTGTGTATATAACCTACTCTTCAAATTAAAATAAAACAATTTACTTTGCTCTTAATGAATTTAATCGAGGTACATGTTAACAAGCTTGCAGGCATGAAAGCTTACACATCACTACACGAGAAGAATCACACAACACAACCTTTCTTGTCTCTGAAGTGACTCTCAGTTCCATGAGAGCAACCCATAATATTTCTTCTCAAAAATGTGTGGCTTTTCTAAGGAAGTCCAAAAGCAAGTCCTTTTGAACTACAAGTTTTAGCAAACCCGCAGTATCAAACCTGCCATCATACCCATACAGCAGCATGTGATAACAAAATAACTGGTCAAGAGAAAGACCCACAAGGGAGGAAACAAAAGGGAACCCACAAAAGGAACTCATAGCATTTGTTTCTTCAGCTCCTCCAAATACAGTCTTTGTACGTTCCTAAAATAATCTCTCACAGCGGTAAGAACTGTAAAACTTGTATGCAATATGCTTCTATATGCTTACCTTATGATTATAGGAATCGGCTACGTACAGCAGTTTTCTTTTCTTGTCCCACGTTACTCCTAGGGGATGCTGCAACTTTGCATTTATGCCCGCTCCATCCACATCACCAAAGGCAAACAAATTCTAAAGTTGTATGTTATTAAATTAAAATCTGTTAATTCGATGTTGACTTAAGTTTAAATGATTATAACTAAATGGAAATTAACTGACTTTTTAAAAAACAAAGCAAGACAACTTTAAAACAAGGATACTGAGAACTAGGAACACTGACCATGGAAAAAGAGACTATAACAGTTCTCAATGTGAATACAGCTGACTGATAACCAGGCAATGCTGTCTCAGGTTGGCTATTTTATAAATAAGTGAACCCCTAGAGCAACAATCTGCACTACAACCTGAATACCGCAACTGCCACACACTTGCATTCCATGCAGTGAAGTTAAGAAATGGATGGCCATGGAAACTGATTTACCCTCTCACCCCAAAAGTGGTTCTTCCAGGTCAGGCTTGAGGAATATTAGTAGGGCAGTGTGGGGAAGTTTGAAGTGATTACCAATGGATCTCTCTCTCCTCCTACAAGGTGCTTCACCGCTCCGTCCTTCAGAGAAATTGTTCGCACAGTGCTGCTCTCGCTATCTGCTACAAAAAGGCAATTCCATGGCTCCTCAGAAGCCAGAGAGAGACCAGAAGGCTGTGCAAAGCCTGCCTTGTGCGGGTATGCATTGTTTCTGTTCTCTTCATTTCCACTCCCAGCAAATCGAATGCAGGTTCCTTTCTTTAAATCGCTGAAGAAAAATAGTATTCGAGTTCAAGACTAAGCTTGAAATACTTCAGACATTATGCATAAACTGAAGTTATAGGACAAACGTGAGTTATAACAACTATACTACAGCACAAGGAATTATTTGAATTGCCTTTGTGCTAACTTTTACTTCACCTTAGTTCATCATTCATCATTAGATAACTCAGCAAATGCAGTGAAAAGTAACATTCAGTTATACGAACGTAGCTTACCAAGTCATAGTTTTATAGGAAAAGCAGCACCTTCCATTTCATCTAACTTATGTGAGAAAAAAAAACAGGCAGACTTTAAAGTACACAAGCCTTTCAAGTCTGAAGAGAAGCAGCAAACTTCAAGCTTAGTACAGGTTGAGGAAAATTACTTTGAGTTTAATATCATTATCTCTCTTCAGGGTTTGAAGGCTATTTATCAAACAAGCAGCAGTTTCTTATATCTCTCATTAAAGCTGCTTACCTTCCCTTTGGTAGTTTTCCACCTTCCAACATCAGTGCCCAGATCTGATGAGTGCCTGCCATGGCTATCCATAAAACATCGTCTTCCTGGGTACCTGAAACTATTTAAAAACAGACGTATAAAAACAGGAGGAAAAAAACAAATCCTTTGGGTATGTTTTATAAAACCAAGAAGTCAACAAGCCAGCCCTGCTCTTCCCCCGCCAGGCCCGCCCAGCTCATCTTTTGCCTTGGGAGACTCTGCCTTTGTTCTTCGGTTCTCTTCCCAAGAATATAAACATCTTCTGTTTAATCTCTCTGGTAAAGCCAATACTTCAAATAGGATTTGTTCTTTGCATGATTTTGCTGTTGGGTTCACATTTCACCTGTTATTTTTGGATTCATACTGGCCAGCAAATAGGTATATATGTTTGCTAAGCACGTACTTTTTTTTTTTTTTTACTAAGCTAGTGACAAAATTCAATATTCCAAGTAATTATTGGTAATTGTTTGCAGGGTTTGGGAGAAATAACAATGGCAGTACCTTTCAGATCATATGCTCATTTTAGTTACAGATCTTTTATCCTGCAAATTCACATGTTCTCAACATATTATCCCTAATAGTCCCACAGAAATCAGTGGTAATACTAATGACAGTAAAGACAGGATACATAACACCTTTCAAGATAACAGAAATTGGTGCTTGGATGTCATGTAGATTCATGCTACAGAGAATAACAACTGCTATTTATTCAAAGGTTAGGTGTGATGTGTGCAATAACCAATTCCCCTCTACTCTAACCAGTTTCTAAGTGATACTCTCAACGTTTACACGTGTATATGAGACACCACCAATTCAAGATGCAGATCACGGAATAGTGACCTTCTGACCAAAAAGGGTTCAAATGTGTATCTGTTTTTTTCAGCTCATAAAGTATAAAACTGCTATTCACCAATCCAAAATTAAAAAATTAAACAAAGCTTGACTAGATAACATTTCCCAAATAAAACAATATAAATGAAAACAGAAGAACAGATAAGTGCTCTATAACTAAAACCAGATCACATTGCAGCATAAGAAAGGATGCATGAAGACAAGTAGTGAAAGGCCATAAGAAACAGATTAAATTTACTTAGCTTTTTCTGAAAAGTTTAAGGAACAGTAAGTTGACATTTAAAAATTGCATTAAAACAGGTACAGTGTTATATTCCTAACACTGTACTGGTCTAAACACATTGCACAGAACGGTCCCATCTAGTCAGAAACAACATTAAAAAGCTTTTCTAAATCAATGCAATGGGTACTGGAATAACTATTAGCCAGTCAACTGAAAAATATCTTCCAAATGCTCACAGAAACTTTTTATTCATATGAACTTACAAAATAACGTGGGTCCCATAGCGCTGTTCCTTGCAACAAACAGCAGCCCCTCATATTTTGTAGTTCCAGAATACACATAATTTTATGTAAAAAACTTGTAAACATTTTAAACCTGAAAAGTTAGACCAAAACCAATCTTCCTAGAATAAAATTATCACCACTGCCCAAATTGAGATCCTTGCATCTTCCACTTCTCAAGCATTCTCACATCATACATTAGAAGAGGAAAAACTAGTACCCTTCTATCTACAGAAACAATTTCCTCCTACTGTGAGCCCTCTTAAGAGTAGTACTCATATGATTTTAATGCAGTTTATCTTCAGCCTTTTCTTTTTCTGGGATCAACGTACGAGTTTCCTAGACTACGACCAAAAATAACTCTGCTGAATCTCTCCTGCACCTCCACATGCTCCGTGTTTTTTATGCAAAATGGAATCCCAAGAATAAAAGTTAAACTTCCAGGACACCTAAAAGCTTCTGATGAGTGGGAAGGTTCACAAAATAAGCTGGAAAATAAACATTCCACAAATCATCAGAGATGCTAAGAAAGTACTAGCAATGCCAAAAAAAACCCTGACAACATCAAAACCACAGAATGATCTTCGAGTAGAACTTGTTTCTAAGAGATTTAACCAAGAAAACAGGCTAGGCAATCATCTGACTACCTCCTACATAGTAAACGTTCAACTCCCAGGATTTTACGTTTCTATGTTGCATAACTTGCATTTTTCAGAGGCTACAATTCCGAGTACCTCAGAATGAGCAACGCTAAAAATCACCGGTTAATTCAGTAAGTGGGCTTTTTATCTTGCATTTATGCTATCCAGGTCATTCTGAAGGATCTCAAAATGCTTTGTTAATTATTTAATATTCACTTCATTCGCCAATAAAATGGAGCTGTAAGAATAGAGCTGAGCACTTTAGAGAATCTATTGCATAAATCAAATTTTGTAGTTCTACCCACTGAGAACTATCTTGTGATGGCCAGAAGCCGAAAAATTGAAGAGACACCTGACTCCAATTACATACGCTGAAAGGCTTATCAAGCACAAATTACAAGAAAAAAGTATCAATATTAATTTCAAATTTTACTGAATATGTAAGATCAATAGAGAGAAGATTCTTTCTTCAACTAGAAGAACAAGATAGGAAAAATAAGGAAGAGACCCGTAACTGTTACAAATTTTAATTCAAGTTAAATATTTTCTTCTGGGTAGCAAGTAGAACAAAGGGAACGGATACAAGTATGGAAACAGAATGCGCACACTGAATTGCGAAAAATACGTCAGAGCTTTAACCAGAAAATTATACTAAACAGAAAAGTAAAAACAATGCCTGTGGTTGCATACCTAAGGTATTTTATCACATGACCGGAGTGACACTACAGAGTTTAATGTTTAATGCTCTGAAGCAGAAGACAGAAAACATTCCTCTTTGAGGAGAAAACAGTTTGGGGATGTGTCATCAGTGTCACCCTTCTACTGCTCTCATAGGAGAAGGGGGGGCAGGGAGAACCAGCATGCTAAAAGTTATGATAATGCCACCAACTACTCCTTATCATCTTTGAATGGAAAGAATTTGTTTTTTTAAAAGGCTTTATTACAAAACAACATAAAAGAACAAAGTAATTCTTTTACATTTATTCAATTAGGCACCACATTCCAACCTACCCCAAGCCGTTTTTAAAATCCAGTGCAGTTTCTCCTTATTAGGTCATGTACTTTCTTATCTTTAGGGCTGTCTGTATCAGAGTAAAGTATGGCTTGTAAATGCGATACACTTACATCATAAAGATTCACTACTAATGAACTAGAGCGCTGACTGCACTAGTGTTCCATACGGCAGCGTTATACTGTACTCCACTTCCGTGCTTTTCAAGTTCCTGAATCCACCTCTGTTATATATCCATGCTTTTAACAATTCACAGTCCTATTCACATACATACTCAGCCTTAAACATGTCAGTAGTAATGCTGACCTTTCTAAGACACTAACTGTGAGTCAATTTGAACACACAGATAAGTGGTTGCGGGATGCCATATTCTTTCCTTTTTTAATACAGAGAATGAGAAAAGACTATCTTTAGTAGCAGTCAATAGCAATATCTATCTGCAGAGATTCCATTCCCAGGAATACCGAACACTTCCAGTCTCCCTATCTGGGGACTGTGTGCTTACTTCCAATCCCGTAATGAAAAGTCTGGGAATCAAAGTCACATTTTGTGGATGACAGCACTGACACTTTCTAAATAGACACAAATTGATTTTTCCCCCCCCCCATCTCCTCACTTTATCTTCAAAAAACGTAGTCCGTTGGTACACTCATCTGCCAACACACAAAAAGGTAAAAAGGGAATGATTTTCATGTAATAGGGCATCCTGCTTACAGACATGTATGCTGTGTATGCACACATATGAATATAAGTCTTGTTTTCACTTAAGTCAGGGGAATTTTAATAAATTAAATCTGAATCTGACTGACAGAATGACTGGAGAGTCATTGCTCTTTCTTCAGCGAGACAGAGAGTGAAATCCCTCCGAGAATGCCAGTTTAGGAGCAGGCACCAAAGCTGTGCAGAGATGACAGAACCTATACACAAATTACTTTAGGACACGTGAAAATCCCTCCAAAGTCCCTCTTCAGAATTCAATAAGAAGCTGACTGTTTGACCCACTCAGATAATATATACAGGAAAACTGTGCACTTCAGAAGTCCTCCCAAAACATTTCTGGATAATCCTCTCTTCACTGGAGTCCTTCATTGCCACTTTTTAATGTCATGTTTCTCAAAAGATCTTTTCCCCTTAAACAGTTTATATATGGGAATTAAACCCTATAAGTTTTTCACTTAACTTTAGCCCTACCTTTAATTATGAAGTTACTTTTTTTTTTCCTTGAAATTTGGAGTATTTTAAAGAAAAAATACTTTCATTCACAAGCAAATTTAGGATTTAATTCAACAAGAGAAGGACAGAAAATGCTGTTAAATGCCAGTGATATCTCTAACATTATTTTCTGAGAAATTGGACTTGCATGGGGGCAGCTGCAGCCCGAAGCTGAATGGGGTATCTGTGAGTTTGTACCTTCCACAGGAACCTGCTGAAAAGACGAGGTCTTCTGCATTCCAAATGAGTCTACACCTGTACCTCATGCGCTCATATTACAAGCTACATGTATCTAGAGTAATTCAGACTTTGAGTTGTAAAGAAACATGATTCAAAAATTAATCCCTGATGATCTCAAACGCAGCTCGTATTTTCAGCTATTACCAGGGAAAATTCCTTTCACAAGACAATGAAGGCTAGAGCATCAAGGCCACAACGAGACAAGACTGGAAGGAAAAAGACACGTAGATAGCATACTTTTGACAGCAGAGAGTTCACATACACTCTGAGCTCACCCAGGTAGTTAACTGATTACTGCTTTTTTTGGTAAAATTATGGAAGAATCACTATGAATAATTCAGAGAAAAAAAAATCTTTCCTTTGGAATGCAGTTCTAAATCACCTTTGAGGAGAAACACGGAAAGAAACTTAACATACTTTCGTTTTTAAGAAAGGTTAGAAAGATTGTACTAGCATGACAGCTACCACACTTTCATTTAAATAATATCTACGCAAAACCTATATTGAAGCACAAATTTCCAACTCATTTATTGAAAACACAGTCAATACTGTACTTGGGAACGTCTATAAATAGCTTACAATCACGCAATTTAAGACTGGATTTTGGAATCTAAACCA